TTCAAGTGCAGGATGAATTCTGATTTTTACAAAAATTCTTTATAGCTAGCTCAAATCATCTGTTTAAAAATCCTGCCTTTGCTTTAGGAATTTGGGTAAGTCTACCTTGGCTAACATTCTGGAAATCGGGTGCAGTGTTTCCTCAGCTGAAGTATTTTCACATAATACGTATGTCCCTGCTTAGGACGGTTAACTTGTTTTTTGCATTAAACTACCAGTTCACAAACATGGATCAGTGACCTAAAAGTGGTTCACTGAAGCATAAAAGGAGTGATGAAAATACTAACGTAAATACTGCCATAAAGAACAATCTGTAAATGGAAATAATTAACAAGACTTGCGTGCAGATACAGATTATGAATCTAAATGTGCTGGGACAAGTGAATGTGTGAACGACACGCATTCTCACAAGCAGCAGCCCCTGCCAGGTATGATCCTCCTGGCTTCCAAATTCACAACCTCCTGTGACATGGGATAGGTTTCATTGGGAGAGGTCAAAGCTTCAAGGCCAGGATCGGCAAGAACAAAAAAGGAAGCCACTGTTGTTTCTCAAACACACCCCAGCATCTATGGAAAGGCTTGCCAGGGCCCAGGACCTGTTCTTTTGACTTTTTATAGCACAAATTTTAAATGAGTCTTGTCAACAGGGGGACTATACTACACAGTCTGCTTGACATTGGAAAGTTAAGATTTGAGGAACCAGCAATATACACAAGTTGTCTGAGACAGCCAGCTGTCCAAGACAGGGATAACACAGGTCCCATGGGTAGTTACAGTCTCCACTGTCTGCCATCAGTCCTGAGGGTAATTGGGTACAGCCTCTCCAGCTGGAGAAAGGGGTGGGCTGGGGTGCAGCCCTACCTAGATAATTGTGCAAGAAATCCACAAGAAGTAGCCAGGATCACTTACAGACAATACTGCTTGCTGCACAGCAACTAAGCAGTGGGCAATAACAACGGTGTTGAACAAGTCAGACATCTTCCTTATTAAATGTTTTGGAGTTAGTTTTTGCTGAAATCAGTCAAAGTCCCATCAGGAAGCAGAACAAATGTGGTAACTGAGGAGAGCTTATTAAAGGAACTGTTCACAAACAGGTGAGCAGCCATAAGTAAAATCAACAGCAGCAGGAGGAAGCCATTACCACCTCTAGGCCTGGAGGGGCGAGGGGAGGAATGGTTACCCAAACCCCAAGACGGCGCTAGCTGTGGAGGGGTCCGAAGCACAGAAGGTGGCCTTCAGGGCTTTTGGTGTAGGAATCCAGCTACTTCTAATCTGTAATCCTGCAGAGAGCGGACTGGGAGAATAAATACCCTGATCTCACTCTTCCACCTTCCAAACCCCTGGTGATGCTCCCATTGGCAAAACCCAACCACAAGTCAGAGGGCAAGGAATGTGGCAAAATCAGCTGATGAGGCCCATAAAGGTTGGCACGAGACCAAGTGGAGATGGGGAGAGAGTGGATATGAGGGGTGAGCGAAAGTGTCCACATGCTAAGAAAGACAGGAACCAGTGGCAATTTTGGGGAGGTTGGCTTAGGAGAGCTAAGGAGATGAGAGGCTGATTACAGAGCTGGAGTGGGTAAGGAGAGATGATAAGAGAGGGACTATTTTTTCAGTATTTTGATCAGGAAGGAAAGCAAAATGGCATAAAACTATCTTAAAGAGATCTCTGTAGTTGGAAAAGATACTATTGTCTGGTTTGGAAAAAGGACTTAAGTTTCATCTGAAGAGCAGAAGGATCCATTGTAAACGGAGTGACTACAGAAAGAGGGACAAACATATGGACCCAAAATGGGAAAGGACAGAGTTTTGAAGACAAGTATTAGTGTTACATAAATATTCTCAAAATAGTATTATACCAACTGTTTTCTGGAAATCATTATCCCACCCTACAATAATTACTCACTCTTAGAATGTATACTATAGTATGTTTACTATATCATGTTCTAAGTGTGTTTTATTAAGGTAAGACTTCACAATGTTCTCACTATGACCTGAACAGACTATAGTACTTGGTTGAAATGAGAAGACCAGATTTAAGTATTAGGTAAAGGTTAAGAAAACTTTAAATACATTTCAAAATTAACTATTGGAATACTTTCTTTGCTAAAAATAAAATATGTAACCAGAGTGAAGGCAATTACAAATTAAATTGCTTTCAGTCTTTTTTCATTCTGCATCTATCAAGTTTCACGGATCTCAAGGCAAGAAACAATGCGCTGTCTAAATTCGATCACTAGAATGATGAGATCTCTCATTACCTTTTATTGGCATACTGAATTGTTTCCTGCTGATCTTCTTAAGATTATCATTATCTATCACTTAATAGATTGAAGACCTCAGGAATCACGGTGTTTGAACTACTAACATGTCATTAATCTCATTAATGGCATTATTTTGTTTATTGTTGAAGAGCCTCACCATATTTAAAATGAGTCAGAGACACAGGAACCACAAAGAATGGAGTAGAAATGTTTACCCACTCTAAGAATACAGTTAAAATCTGTCAGTATTCATTGCCAAATATTGCCACACTGGACTGTCGATATCCATTATAAAATTATCTAGCCCTTTCTTAAGCGTTTTCCTGATACTTAAAAGTATGCTTTATTTTAAACATCCAATACTTGGTTAAAATGGTAGAATTATGAAAATGCCCCTCTTCAAGAGAATCTGATTTTATTTATAAAGTGTTGTACTACTCACAGGTTTATGGACACATCGATTGGAAAACTTTCTTTAGAACAGGAACCTGAATTCAATTGATCAAGTAATATCAAGCTACCCCACATTTCAATGTGATGGGGTAAAAGTCAGTGGTCTTTTAAAAAAATAACTGTGAACTAGACCCATATGCTTCCTTTTCTCTTCCAGTCCTAAAACAATAGACTAAGATAACAAATGGAATTTTGCAGGCTTTGGTTAGAGGCCTGTATCTTCAAAAGAGACCTAGGAAGGAAGACTTAAATGACTTCCCACGTAAGAAAGCATATCACCCACTGAGATTTGTCTTTCTTGTTGGCACCTATCTACAAAAGAAATGGGAGGCTAAAATCAGCTTCAACTTGTGCAAATTAAAAGTAACCTTCAGGCTAATGGGTTTTCAACACCACTTCTTACTGAGCAAAACATTTGTGTCCCATAAAATTAAATTACCTCCTCAAAACTGACTTCTCTAACAAATTACAACATTGAATTTTTTAAAGTAAAATTGTAATTCCTACAAAACAATTCCCCACTCCCTGAGGTAACCTTCCTATTACTGTTAGAATTGATTCCATTTTTAATGGAGTTTTGCATCTGGTTCTGGGGTGCAAAACCAAAAACAGGAGAAGAAAAACTAAAAACTGTCAAATAAATGGCAGCAAAATTAAAGGCCTGAAAAGTCAGCCAAATCTTTGAGATCACTGGAACTCCACGTTAGAGAAATAAATGCTTTACCATGTCACCAAACACTAAATTCAAGGAATATGGTAGGGTCCCTACCTTGAAGAAGGTGACCAGCTATCTTCAATTTCTTTGGAGCAGTGATCAGATGGAAGTAATGAAAAAAATTAAGCACTGTAATGACTTTCTAAGGTGGTGACTTTTGCATTAACTCTATCAATCACTAAAAAGTGACTATATTTTCACCAATTGAAGAAGTTTTAATATGGTCCTATTATGTCCTATATAATGGGGTCCTATATAATGGGGTTGCAAGTCATAAACGTATTGTTGCATGCATTCTTTGTACTGAGAACTAAACTAGCCCCTTCAGAAGTGAAAATATCAAGGGAAACAGTAAAACCCACTTGAAAAGATGGGCCATACAAGACTAGAGACGACTCAAAAACACAGGTTGACAGTACAAATTGTATAATTTGAACTATGAGACAATTTGAAGGCAAGGCACAGTTATAAGGTTATATAAAGCTAATGTGTTAAATTTGGTCTAAAAGACAATGGGCTAACATAAAGGAGAGGTTCATGATGAAATATTATCCTGGCAGCTGTGTACAAGATGGACTAACGTCAGGAGAAGCACAATATTAATACTAACACTAATAATATCAAACACAGACCACTACTAGGTGTCAAGGCTGATATAAGCATTTTCATATATATATTAACCTGTTAAATCCTCATAGCCATGTTTGAAGGCCAACACTGTTATTTCATTCAACAGATGAGGAAACTGAATCACTTAAATAATGTCTGATTTTTACAGGGAGTGTCCTGCATAGCAACCTCCATGCAGGTAAATATAAGCCAAGTACATTTCATTTTCAAAGCAGGAGTTGATCATCCAAAGAAGTCAAGAATACTCATGCTGCTATGTGATATTTCTTATTGTTTTTAAATGTTTTTGTTGTGGAACACTTCAAACATATACGAAAGTAGAAAGAATAGTACACTGACGGAACCCCTTCCATTCACATACCTAATCTAGATTCATCTACTATACCTTCACTCATTTCCTGTGCCCCTCCCTCATTATTTTGGAATAAATCACATATTTTACATCATTTCATCATCACTAAATTGTTAGGCATATATCTCTAAAAGATAAAGACATATTTTTCCTTCTAAACATGACCACTATACCACCATGATACTTTAGAATTTACAATGATTGCTTAGTATCAAACATCACTCAGTGGTTAAAGTTCTAATAATATATCTTACTTTAATACTTGTTGAAACTTGCAATGTGCTAGCATTAGGTACTTTGACATATATCATTTCATTTAAATTACTGCTACTTGAATTGCCTTTTCCCCACGTTCATTCCTACTAACTGGAACGACTGTCTCTTCAAGAGGATTCAGAGCCTCCGCAGCGGGCTGCTGTCGGCCTCCCTCCCGGCCTCCTGCTCCTCAGCGCGGTCCCCAGTCCTGTACTCGGCGGGAGGAGGCTCAGGCCCGGCGCCGCCTTCCGCTGGGATCTGTTCCCAGGCCCAGGGACTCCGGCCCCACCCCAGTTGCCTAGGTGACGAGGGGCCGCTTCTCTCGGCCGGCCGAGATCGCGGCGATGTCGCAGGGGACGACTCCCTGGGGGCCGACCCCAGCAGGGCCGACCCCGGCGGGAACAACGCCCGAATCGGAGGTACGCCGCCCCTTTCCCTTCCCGGTCCCAGTGCCGCTACCAGAGACCTCCGAGCTCTCATTCCCCGTCCGCGGAGTCAGCGGCCGAGCCAAATCCGGTCTCTGAAAAGGCGCCGCACGTCCGGCCCCGGCTGGTGAGCGGCCCGGGAGGGCGGCGGGGCTGGGAGCTGCGCTGGGGTCCCGGACACCCTCTGCTGCCCGGCGCCCCCCAGCCGTCCGCGGCGCGCCGTGCACGGTGCCAGCGGGTCTAAATGTATGAATTCTTCCATTGGACGGCTCTTGCCCAAACGCCCTCATAACCACGCGCTTCTACCGCAGGTTTTGTTTTTTGTTTTTTGGGTGTTTTTTTTGTTTGTTTTGTTTTGTTTTTTGTTTTTTGTTTTAATTCTAAGTAAAATAAGTGATCTCAGATTTTTAAATGGGCCAGTCTCTTTTTGAAATTGCTACTAATTCTGTAATGATTACAGTTGCGATTGCTCAAAAGATGTCATGAAATAATAGCTGTTTACTGGTGATGGACTGATTAATATTAGAAGGTTGGTGTTTCCATTATTTTGCCATTTTTTCTAAACAAATAAATACAGGTCAAAGGACACTGGCTGGAAAATCTTCTCTCGTTATGGCTTTAGTTGCTCATCAACTTGACTTTAAGGAATGTTATTTAATCTCCTTGGACACCAGCGGCCTCCTGTGTGACAAAAGGTTGATCTTTAGGCCCCTCCCGTCACCAACTCTCCATAATAAATGGGTTTTAAGTAACTTTACTCATAAACTTAATATCCTGAGATTTTAAGAACACATCTGCCGTGCCAGATATTACAAACAAAACATGTTTAAATCTTTGCACACAGAGTCTATTATTATTGTTCCTGGGAAGTTGTTTTTCTTCCATCAAGGCTCTAAAGGTGAAATAATCATGTCTTAATTAACATTGCTTGTCTTCATTATTCGTTGTTCTAAACAACATTCTTTGTGCAGAAGATAAGTGTTAGCTACAATTTTATAATGAGGAAACACAGAGAGCCAATAATTCCATGCCTTGCTCAGAGATATGTAAGCTGTTCCCAGCCGAGATTCCTACCAAAATCAAATGCAGACCGCTAAGGCATGCGGACTCTCATATGAGCCTTTTGAAATTAGCAGACATTAAAGTACATTTTAATGTGATAAACTGGTTACTAAGCCTATTACTCCCTTGTGATCGCTAATGTAAGTAATACAATTTCAAAAGTAGCACAGGAAATTTTCCAATTAAATTGTGTTATTTAAATATATACCAAGCTTAAGACAATGCACAATTGTCAGTGTACACATACACATGCTCACCCATGTAGATCATGTCCTTTCCAAAAAGACTGATCATTTGGGGTCTTAATGAATCTGGACTTTAAAAATTACATAATTTTTTAAAAGATGTAAAGAAGTGCTGTGCTTCGGGAGAAAATACATCATTTGATAATGGTTGAGTCAGATGAATGAGCTAGTTACAGGCCTTACATGATTATCTACCGTCTTAGGATTGTCAGCTTGCACATTTGTCAACTTCTTGGAGGGGCAGGTATTCTCATGACATGCAATTCAGGATGTGCTCAATCACTTAGTAACAAACAGAAGAAATCAAGTTGAAACAGAGAGTCAATTAGCAGTGCTCATTTACTAACATAACACACTAATTCGCTGCTTGGTGGAAACTCCATTTTCCATTTTAATGAAAGCAGAGTTCCTGTAGTTCATGGGGAATATAGTTGATCCACAGAGCTGTGTCATTCGTTAAAACAAGTCCTGCCTGCCACCCATTTGTGCTGGTTGGGGGTGTCGTATGTTAGCTAGAAAAGATGGCAAGATTCTCTCTTGTGGTCTGTTCCCAAGGCCACCACTTTTTAGGTAAATACTGAAAGGTTCTTCTCAGATCAGATTATTTACAGTGTTGATCCCCCAACAGCTAATCACTTATGGTGTCATTTCTAATAAATTCTGTATCCAAAATGACTTAGCCAATAGCCCATGTAGTCGACTGAGCCAAACAGTACTGAATTAGTTCCTTTCTTGCCAAGTGCATCAGAAAGAAAGCATAAGCTTTCAGTAGTCCCATGTTTCCCATTTGTTGTTTGTGGCCAATATCTAGAATAGAAGTAATTATCCCAATCACATAGTAGGCGCTCAGTAAATTATGACTAATTAAAATCATGGATGGTCTGAGGCATGCTAGGAAAGGTGGTTATCATAGATTAAAATCTACTCTATGAGTTACTGTGAACAAGCATATATGAGGTGCAGATCCAGAGAACTAATTTTTTCTGTGGCATTGAATAAGTCCTGCTTGCCAGCCTTCTGAATTCAACATCCCGAGTTCTTTAGTAATACTGGAGGAAATGCCTCCCTTTACATGGTAAAACTAAACTTTTGGCAGATAATCTGTATGAGTGCATAACAGAAAAAAATGACAAAAATCTGAAAATAAATGTTTGTTATGAATAGACCTGTAAGTGAAAGGAGTTTATAAATGTGCACTTGGAATTCAGTGATCAATCTTGTATTAATAAATTGTTCATATACTGACTTTCTTAATATCTTCAAAAATATCTAGGGAATAGAATCATAAGTAGTATACTTACAAGGAATATACTTCAACTTACATCAGAGACCTCAAAGAAAACACAAATGATTATTTCCCAATTGCTTCTTCTGAATAGTGTCTCTTGAAGTATGACCACATCACCCAATAGGTGACAATTAATGCATTCACGGCTTTATCAGGATAGGACACTTACATAATTTTGAGGGGAAAGATGATGTAACCTGTCTAGGAGATCATCAACATGTCCTGGAGCAGGCCATAGACAACTCTGTCTACATTGGGTGGTCCCTAAAGACTTTAGAAAACAGACCCCACTCCATCATTACAGAGAAAACTCAGGGCTCAATTGAGCAGCAAAAGTATCAGTTTCCTGCAACATCAGTGTCATTCAAGAAGTATTTCTTGAAATTATGAATAAGTCAATGTAAGTGAACACGTTGTGATCACATCGTACAGATCAACCTATGCAGGCTATGGGGAAAATGCCAAAAACGTCACTTAAAATATTGTTGAGAAAACAGTACTAATGGAACTCAAAATGTGAGTCCATGGTAGCTGTATTTATCAGACACTTAGAACCTGTAGCAAATTCTGGCTGCAGCATGGAGATATTGACGAACACTTAGGCTTGTCATTCTTACTGTCGATCTTTGGGTTTACTGTCTTATTTAAGAAGTCCGGCTCCTCCTCTCCCTTTTGTCTTCCTCCCTAGATGGCACAAATCATCTTCAAAATTTTTCTAATATTTAAAGTTGTATTTTACTATGAATTTGGTCTTTCGCAAGTCTAGAATATTTTTACATTTGAAATGAGGATCTAATTTTATTTCCTTCTAGAAGTGAATTACCGATTATGTCAGCTTCATTTACTAAACAAACTATCCTGTCTCTTCCTATTGAGAATAGACTGATTGTT